CTAATAGGTTGATACATAATTATTGCGGATTTTTTCGCGGTTTTTTTTCTTTCATACATTTTCAATATCGAAGTCGGGATTTTTATAAAAAATAATCTACTCGCTTCCCTCAATAGCAGTATTTCTAGAAAGTCATCTTCTCACTCGCCACATCATGCTCTATTACTTCAAAAAATGATGAAAAGTGGCACACTCATTCCGCGATCTCAACGAACTTTTTGGAGATGGAATTTGGGACTGGGATTTGCTCCTAGATCTTCATATTGACCCACAGAAATCCTATAAGATATCACGTTCCCCGTTCGTTGGAAGATTGGCTGGCAAACAGGCTTTACGACGAAATGGATGATTAGGTGGCCGATGTCAAGGTGAGGATCACCTCCAAGGACCGAAACTTCTACGCCTGTGGGATACGGCTGCTTAGCAAATGGGAAGCAGTGCTTGAAGTAGATGGTGAATACGCTTCGGAGTTCTTATTTGAACATGTATTTGTCGAATAAGTTCATCTTTCTTTTGAGTAAATTTCTCTGAAAAAAATCCGCAGTAATTATGCACCAACCTAATAATTTTTCTTGAGCACAAAGGGAGGGAAAAGTACATTATGAGGTTACCCTATTTTTTTATATTGTCTCACCTGCATGACCAAGCTACTGAACTACTGGTTCAAATTTCTCGGATCTTTCTCGAATGAAGTGATATTCGGCTGCGATCGCGATAATTTGGTTAAGAGTATAAAAAAAATATGAGCATATTGTGAGATTCTCTATTGACGAAATGATACTCGTCTTGATTGGAGTGCAGCTCTTACTTAAGTTTCCAATTTTTTTACTCGGGAAAAAAGTTAAAGGAGTGAAAAAAGTATAAATTCCCAGCCATCAGATAAAATACTGTTGTAGTAGTTAAGAGTTGTTGATATTATTTATAATGATCCTACTTATACTATAATGATACATATCACACTGGCGCCTGAGCCATGATCTCACTGGAGTATATAAACCCCTGTATTGGTTGTGTACAGTTTATGTTCTAATAAACATTCTGGATTCTGCCTGCTACCTTTGGACGCAACAAATACTATCAAGCTCAGCTGATCCTAATTGCCTGAGCATCAGAGAAAATTGGCAGTCAGAGACAACCTCAATTCCTTACTTTACTTATTTACCTTTATTTGTTCTACGCAACATGGGGTAGACCTGACATATAAAACACCAACACGCTATTAACTCCTTTTACATATATTCGAGTGCGAAGGTAGTGTAGTAACAAGTGACGCATCATCATGCAGGTATGGTCACGGGTTCGAATCCCAGATCGATATCCGCTTAGGTGGACCAAGCCTTCCAACCCTTCGGGTCAGTTAAACGGTACCAGAATTGTCTGGCAGGATAAAAGCACTGAATTGTACTTCGGCTAGTCACCGCAAATCAATGTATAGCACTTGAACGCATTCAATACGCTACTACGATTCTGAATGGAAGACGATTGCGAGGGCGCATCCCTCAAACGGGAGTGGCTAACGCCTGGAGAATTTTTCTTCTATTCTTAACATCTAAATGGAATTCAACAACTCTTTTTTTTTACAAAGCGCTCTACAGAGCACCAAAGAACCGGGAAGAAGTTCATACTACCTGTGGTTTCAATGATACCATGAGCCTGCTCTATAAGAAGATTTGTCATGATTGCTAGAGCATTACTCATCGAACCTTAAGCTCCTGATTGAGTATTTTTTTAGACGTTCAATACCTTTTCCAGTAATATGTGTTCCTCAACTTAGCATTAGCTTGAATAGGTTATACTTACTCAATTTACTCACCACTATGAAGTTTTTCTGTACGCTCTTATAGCACCCTTCGCACTTTCTTTATAAGGACGTGCACGGCTGCAGACTCTAGCCTCGACGTGAAACCAGGTATAGCATCAAGGAAATTGGGTGTCTAGGCAATTGTCTCGGTAGAACTCCTTCACGATGCTCTCTGGTGCCACTACTAGAATTCGTCGAGAACTCGACGTTCTTTTTCCAACAGACTGTGAGCTGCCAACTTTGTTTTCACCTTGTAAACAAACAAACTGAGCCTGCGAAGCTTCGGCCCCGGAGGGACCACAAACTCTAGTGAAGTTTTGAAAATGCTTCTCAGCGCTATTAAAGGTAGTGGGAATGAAAACCTTCACGGTAAGCAGTCCAGGGCAAGTACTTTGTAGATACCAAGGAAAAAGCTCAGAAACTGGGACATGGTATGGTTAATCAGGTGACAAAAGGTTGAAATGCTTAGAGGCACAGTTCACTACACAGGTGGTTTCCGATATTTCCAATAGGGACCGATCTACCACTCCCAAGTACGCTATATGAATCGCTGCTTCATTGGAAAACGGTCTGAATAGGGCGCACTAAGGGCTAAAAGGCGGCTTGATCGACGTCAACGTCCAAAACCGAACTTTTTTCAACGACTTTGTAGAAGTTGGCCCATTTACTATGGACATACATATATGATAGCGGTGATCCACAACGTCAATGGAAGGCAAATGGGTTACTGTGACAAACTCTTCAGCTACTGCCCACGCTGAATTTTGCCCGAAGACCTCTTTACGATATTTCCGTCGCGTAATCTAGTACATGCCTCTGTTTTCGTCATATTCAAAAGGCTTTTTATCTTATTCATTCCGCGGACTTTATCTCTTCCTCGCCCACTGATGCACTTTTTTCCGCGAACATCTCAGCTTTTCAATGTGACAAAGGTACCCCGAACTTATTGTGAACTATGCCTTTGGATTAATTAATTTCGTGTGACTTAATAGATCTTAGCCTATTTAAAACGATTCTCGCGGATTTGCTCTCAGTTATGTCCCAAGTGAGTGATTCTGTTCATGTTTTTTTTTTCAGTGCTCTCCCATGACACTGGCTATTATGGTAGGTAGAGTAGTGCGATGTACTAAAATGACGTAATGCCGCTTTTTTTACTCTGCCTGTTTAGTAGAGTAATAACCACCATCGTAAAGACCCCACACTCTTTGTTCGTACTGATAGTTGAGGAGTTGTCTGTATACCATGCTTCGAAGTTTCGGCAGCTTCCTGTGACTCGAAAGGGCTAATGAACACTGTAGCGTGCTAATAACCTGCGTCAGCATGCTATAGTGTTCATTAGCCCTTTCGAGTCACAGGCCACGTTTTTGAGAACGCGTCTCCTGTGCTCACGAAGGTTTATGGTTTTCCTGCTTACCAGGGAGGGGTAGTCTACTTATTTTGGAACTTTAAATTCAGACCCAGATAAATCGATAGAGTTTTGAATGCTGTTTACGAAAATGGAAATTAAAACTGCAAAATGATTCTCCTT